AAAGAAAAGAAAATGCAATATTAACACTTAGCCAAATTTTGATATACCTCCTAGATGGTGCAATGAAAACAACAGTATATTGCTTGCAAGGTCGCCTTTAGATTACACGTTCTGCTTGCAAAGAAGAATGTATTCTAAAAATACATTCTATCTATCTATCTATCTATCTATCTATCTATCTATCTATCTATCTATCTATCTACAGTATCTATCTATCTATCTCTGTAAATAAGGTTATCGAAGTAACTGAATTCAATTTGGTGACCCTTCTAGAAACTTCAGGTCCCCGTTAACTAAGAGAAGGAGAGTACTGTCTTTCTTTGACCACAGCAGTTCTCTAAGTTGTATAAAAAGAGCAGGACATATAGAAGAATATGGAGATAATCTGGAGGGATTTCAGCATTCATTATGTAAACATCAACCTAGTCTGAAAGGGAGGAATAAAAAAACCTCAAGAATGCCCTGCCCTGATTCTCTTTGGCATAAGAGGAAGGATAGAGAATCTGTCAGGCTTTCAAAATTCTGTTATTATACCTATAACAATACAGTTCTACTGGTTCCTGTGATATCTGTTTCTTGACCTGGTCTACCTCAAAGGGATGATAAATTTAGCACTATCCTGTTGAGACTGGTGAGATGCCTGCCAAACCCTTCCTTCCCACTTTTTGTAAAATGCAACTCATCTCTTCCCAGGAATCCATTGTGAAAGTAGCATAATCCACTGTTGCAGAATGTAAACCTTTCCAGTGACACCATTTATGTAGCCAATTGCTGATTCCAGGATCCTGTTTTCTTTTCTTGTGCCATGACCCATAACTGGAAGAACTGATGCAAAAACTACTTATTCCCTTCACCTTCTTGCCTAAGGCCTCATAATCTCCTGGAAATTCTTTCAATGTCTCTTCTGGGTTTATCATTCATTCCCACATAAATCAAGAGGAAAGTGCAGTTGATGGTAAATTTGAATAGTCTCAGTATTACATTCTGGATACAGGCATCTGAAAGATAGCACACTTCCCACAATGTCATAACAGGTCTGCACACAGTTGCCTTGGTTCCTCTCAGCAGGAAACTCACCCCCATGACATGCTGCTTATTTTTCAAGGTGGCTCTTGGGTTACTTCAGTCCATGAGGTCTCAAATTCTTTCACAGTATGTTCCTGGCACAATTTCTGAAATAGCTGTGGATAATTTTTTCAGTGGGAAACCCTGATACTGGTTCCTGAGCTTCACTGGGACCAAGTACTCTGTGATCCTCTTGCTTCTTTGGGTCACATGCTGCCATATGTTTCCATTCTGCCAAACAGAGTTCTTTCTGTTCTCTTCACTTGTTTGCTTTACTTATGTAGAAAGCTTCAAGAATCTCACATCTTTCCTGCTATGTTGCAGTACTGAAACTCCTCTCTCCTCAGACCCCTTCATTTTCTCTTTCAACAAGGAAACAAGTCTGCATTATAACAAGTGTAGTTTAGGTCTTCTGCAGGCAGGGAGACAAACTTGCAAACCTTGTGATGATGCCAGATGAATTGTCATCTCATCCCTTGCTCTCCATGTTACTTGGAACCTACCCCATCAACTCCCCAAGGCAAGCTCCCAGGCAGAACATCCTTGTTTGTTCTTGCCTGCTTGCTCTGGTTGCAAGCTCCCAGAAACTGCCTTTCTCGGTAAGGACCAGCCTAGAAGAAGAAGAATGGGAGTAAAAGAAAAAGAAGGTCCTCCCCCGCTAAAACTCTCTGGAAACTAGGTTCTTTAAATACACCTTTAAGAGCCTCAAGTAGGTCAACAAGAACAATGCTCCAATCACATAAAGTGAACAATCACTTAGGAAACTATCAGGAGTCAGCAACATTAGAACATTGCCAATAGCATTTAGAAGTCAATCTGCAGCAGCAAACAGTCAGCAGTCTCTCCCCTCCTTGGCTCTTCCTCTTTCTTCTCCCTCTTCCAACTCCCTTGCAAACTCCCTTTACTCAGCCAGATTGCTTGATCAGATACTTCTAGAATTCACATGTAGTTGCAACGAAGTTCCACAAAATCTTTTAATGTATCAAAGAATACATTATTTTATGTTCATGCCAATGTTATCTTTCAAAATTAGGTCCTTTTTTCAATAAAATAGGAAGAAATGCTTTTTTTCAGCTAAATGGACAAAGATAGGGGCTTGGATGGGCCAGAATCTAACAATATTCAGTCCATTGTTCAATGTTATAGCTCAACCACTCTTTCTAAAGAAAGGAGAAACAGACTAACTCCTTCCCTACTTCTAACATTTTTTCATTAGTGATGAAAATTAATTAGAAGAACCAATATTAATATGCAGAGTGAAACAATTATCTGTATTCTCTCCTAGTTCTATTTTGATTAGGTAAGATCCTGCTCTTCAACCCATAATATTAAGAGTTCTTAGAATGATAATAGGCATATAGAATACTGAACATAGCAATAGAATCATTCGAACGTAGCTGCCCCCATTCACAGCACTGAAATAGGATATATACCACCTGTCCCTTAATATGTACAAGACTGTAGGTAAAGCTAGTGATGTTTTAGTATGGCACTGGTACACTATAGAAATGACGTTGAATACTTCATTTCTCCCCTGCTTTTCTCTCTATTCTTTACTGAAAGAATTCCATGTATGTTTCTTTCCCTCTGTCCCCAAACACACACATACAGTCAGTGGTGTAATGTGAAATGTTTAAGAACTGGTTCTGCCAGCTCTGTGGCTCCCATCATGCTACACCATTAGCCGTGGAACAGCTGAGTGGCATGCTAGGCAGAGAGGCTCAATTCTGCTGTCAATTAGCTCACAAAATTCCAGAAAAGTTAAGAATCAGCTTTTGTGAAATGGGGTGAGCCAGCCCCAGTACACCACTGCATACAACTGCACTGTAATTCAAACAACATACAGCAGAGAATTCTGGCAGTCTATTTTTTTTCTTCCCTATCTTCTTTTATTTATCTTTTTGTGCTTGATCATTGTTGCCAACTCCTCCTACCTTATGGAGTAGAGAGGTGTTTAATTTTGACTTCCTAAAACCATGACATTGAGATATCAGTTCATCAAAGTATCTTGAATACAAGGCACAATTACAGAAGAAAGCAAGCCATTTGCTTCATGAAGAAAACAAAATCTTCTGAAGAATTAATATGATTTTCCAGAGAGGCAATGGATTAACAGCACCACAGGAAGATACCATACTCATGGAATACTGAATGTGTCTTTTCATGTGACATTAGTGTTAATGACTTGTAATAATGGGGGGGGGGGAGAAGTCAGGCATCAGCTTAGTCATGTACTTGTATCACAATATGCACTCACCTAGCTTGCTGACACATGTTGCAGAGCCAAGCTTTCTCCTTCCTCTGATAAGAGCTGCAGTTCTTGCAGATGTTATATTTGCAGTCTTGGCACTGTCGTTTAGTATTGATGAGAAAAGTAAAAGGGGAGCAGCAACGCATGCAACAATGTTCATTAAACCTCTGCTGCTTAGAAAGGATGTTGCACTTGTTACCCTCTTCATCAAGCTTCTGCTTCATTTCACTGGAATCCCAAAAGAAAGGAAGGAAATGAAAACATAATTAAAATAATACTGTATTTAGAGGGAAGTAACACTCAGTTCTCTATTGCCTGGACAAACTCCTCCCTCCAACAAAATAAGCTGACTTTCCCTCCACTAACATTTTCCAGGATAGGCCTATGCCTACGTCTCACCACCTATTAGAAATGAAAAAACAGCATTTTTTCTCATTTTCTTTCCTGTTGTCCTCCTTCTTTTCTTATGCTTTCTCATCACTTAAACTATAACCTCACTACCTTACACTTCTCTTCAATTTTTTGTACCTCTCCATCTTTATTTTTCTTCCATTCTGGAGTGGACATTGAGGAAGAAAATGCACATTTGACATTTCAGTGCACTGAATTGTTTGTTTTTTTGCAATATTTATTACAGGATGTTTTGAAGGATTCAGAAATAAAACACTTCTTTACATATTTAATTTCTTGGGAACTGATTAAATGTTTTTCCAAACAAAATGTTAGGAAAGAAAGTGTAATTTATCAATTTTGTTAATTTTATAGCAGCATGACCACACAGAATACTATGCTACTTGTTGAACTAAGTATTTAATAGGTATATCTTGCCTAAGTATTTATTCCTATTATAGAGAGTTTTCAATTTAATGTTATGAACTTTCATTCTTCCTGCATTCTGAGGTATAAAATCAAATTATATCATTTTCCCCTACTCTAAGTAATATACCACCATTCCAGTTCAGTCAAAAGACTGAAAATGTAAGGAAGAAATATATGTAAAATTTAAAATATCCCCAATATACCAATGAATTTTTGCTAAATAACAAATTATTAAAAATCAACCTGTACTTTTGAACCCTGTCTTTCAATCCTCTGCTTTCTTTCATTACATTCAGCAAACCATTTTAATAGATATTCCTTGGCTGAATTAATGAAAAAAAATCTAACATTGAATATATTAATTTACTACATAAAGAAACACACATCTAAGACCATCTAATATATGTCACTTATTTGGAATTACTCTATGAATTGAGTAATTCATTCTCTATAGATGAGGCCAATGAAATATCCAGTCTGGCCACTTGTCTCCCACAGAGACAAAGCAGATACTTCTCAGAAGCCCACAATCATGACACAGGTGTAATAGTACCCTTCCTGTATTTTCAAATTCAAATTGTTTAGAAATGTTGAAATTAAATAGCTATTTGGTCCATATTTGGTCCATATACTCTAGGATTCATACTTTCTACTCCTTTTTTTTTTTTTTGGTTAATCCTAAATACCAGATTTTATGCCCAAGATTTGGAGGACTTTTTAGAGGAGAGACTAGACATTGTACCTACTAGTATGGGGCCAAAATGTATGAAGACAGTTCTGAAAGAAAAACGGTACATTATCAGAGCAAGGTATGTGTGTATGTGTGTGTGTAATGAAGCTCCTCTCCTCCAATATTGAAATCTGTTTCGCAATATAACCTTTTCATTAACTGGGCAAATGAGTGAAGAGATATACACATGTGGGAAAATGCTGTAGGGAGATGAGGTTAGATGCCTCATTCAATGTGCCGTAAAGATTTAATTTTTGTTCTGCTTTATTGCAGCAGATTCTTCATTTATGGAAACACCTCTGTCACTGTCATATCTAATTTTAGTCTTATCCTCAAAACCTAGAGCTTTAAAGCCTGAAATTTCAAAATTCACAATGCATTATGACCTTGCATCAGTAGCAGTCACTTCTATTAACAACACTGAAGTTTGTTCATTGACAGAAGTTACTAACAAAGCAGTCAAAAATCCCCACCTTCAAATCTTTATACTTCCTATCAAATGTTATAAAGCCAGTAGAAGAAAGGAAATATTTGAAGCATTCACTGCTAAGACAATTATATGACTGATGCTTATTGTGAATGTCAGCATGCCAAACTTGCACAGCTTTCTTAAAAATGCATGACAAACAATTGTTCAGAGAAAAAATAAATTTAGCTGTCACCAATATCAGAAGTAAGCATATATATTCAACATCAATTCCATGTTAATTGAACTGTATCTCCTGTAATCTCATTAACAACTGACTTTCATTTCTAGGTGAAGTAATTTTGTTACATGAATACTTCATGTTATTTCTCTAGAGGAACTCACTGTTAGAAGAACAAGATTCTTATAGAAAAAAAGACATTCAGTAAAACTATCATATTCACAATTAAGTGAAAAATATTTGTCTTGACAAAAAGAAAACTAATTAATCCGTCAATATAATATTATACCACATTGATAAGTTTAAATTCTCCTTTTCCTGCTAAATTTGTAAAACTTTAAGAAGTAGTTTAGTTATCTCATTTTCAAATATCACTGTGGATTTTACAGAATTCACATTAGCTATCATAGCAAACATCCACTAATAGGCTAACTTACATGATTTAATGGAACCCTGTATTGAATAAAACCTACCCTTTAGTTTTATATTGATGAATGAATTTTTGACAGTAATAAAAGTATACATAAAATATTGCATACCAAAAAGCAGTCATATTGAAATCTACTTCATGTAAACAGAAAAATTGCTAATGGTGCATCCTTTTAACAACATTTCACACAAAAAATAAGATATTGCATGGATGGATACTTTCCTGGGAAAAAATAGCCCCAGCACATAGAAGACTAGCAGATTAATGTAAATCCTATGAATGTTTTCTCTGAAGTAATTCTGAGTCCAATGAGATATACAGGTAGTCCTCGCTTACTGACCATTTGTTCAGCAACCATTCAAAGTTACAATGGTGCTGAAAAAAACTTTATAGCCAATTTATGACCATTTATGACCTTCACAGAGTCCCTCAGTCACATGATCATCATTACAGTCAGTATGCATTGTCCTGTGCCTGGCCTGTGTTTTTTAATTTTTCCCCCCTTGCAGAGCAGAGAGATTGGAGAGGAAGGGATTGCAAGAGAGTAAGTCATTTGATCTTCTACACATCAAAAGCAATATGATTGTGCCAGCAGCCTAGGGCTGCAAACTGCGGGTGCACTACACAAACAGCATATAGCACTCTCTTGAAATCTCTTTCTCTCTAATCTCTCTACTCTGAAATGGGGGGGGGGGGGGAAAAGCAAGGGATTTTGGTAGGCAATCTCTCCTTTCCCTGATGCCCCCCCACAACAGAGCAGAGAGATTGGAGAGGAAGGGATTGCAAGAGAGTAAGATGTTTGCTCTTCTACACATCAAAAGCAATGCAGTTGCACCAGCAGCCCAGGGTTGGGAGCTATGGACATGCTAAGCAAACTGCTTATAGTACTCTCTTGAAATCCGTTCCTCTCCAATCTCTCCATTCTGTAAGTGGGGGGGGGGGGAGAAAAAAAAAAGCGATTTCTGTAGGCAATCTCTCCTTGGCCTGACCCTTCCCCCCACCCCCCACAGAGCAGAGAGATTGGAGAGGAAGGGATGTCAAGAGAGTAAGCTGTTTGTATAGTGTGCCCATGGCTCCCAGCCCCAGGCTGCTGGCACAATCACATTGCTTTCAATGTTTACAAGACAGTAAGCAGGCCCTTGAATATTCTTAAGGGCAGGGGAGTGGCTAGGAGGCAAATAAAAGCTGAAGGTGTGAAACTGAGTAGTCTTGTCTCTTTCCAGCCAGAAAGCACAGTCGTGATCACAAGATTTCCCACTTAGCAACCACTTCACTTAGTGTCAGAGTTGCTGGTCCCAATTAGGGTCATTAAGTGAGCACTACCTGTATTGTCTTATTAAAAATGCTTACACTAACAAAAGCATTATATACTATAGCTTTAAAGAATACAAAAGAGCAGTTTTACTATCTCATTTACACTTTGTGTGAATTCAGCCTTAGAAGTGGGTATTATAAAGGACATAGTTAATTTCTGAGAATATTTATGACTGAAAAAAGAAACTGAATTAAAAAAAAATATTAGAAACTTACACAATACATTATTGCTTTCTTTTCATAGTAATGTAAGTAGTTGAATATTTAACTTAAATACAAGTTCACTCAACTGGTTTTAAGTTTAAGTTTCTTTTGTGGACAGGACAGCACAAGAAATTGTCTGTCCTATTCCTATTCTTTTACACTTCTGTAGTCAAACACAATAAAAATCTCAGGGGAAAGACAGAAGTAATGAGAAGAGTATAATGTAAAAGAAACAATTACCATTCATTCTTGTTAACCAATCCTGGTTATGATTCTTCCAGGCTTCTGCAAGCATTTAATTACTTACTAAAACATTTTCTGAACTGTAGAACCAATAGTGGGCTTCAAGCTCTTTGTATAAGCAGATCTTTCTCTACCATGATCCCTTCTTTTATCTGCCATTTATCATCTCTCATGATGGTTCCTGGCCAGCTGCCTCAAAAGTAATCACTTGCTTTGCTCATCTGGCCATCTATCTATTATTGTATATAAGGGCATAGTAATAATATTACTATATCTCTGCCTTTATATTTTTTGAATCTGCTATTTCAAGCAGTTCCTTACATGTATTGCGAGTGGATGTGGTTCCTCAACCCTGCATGGGATCAGACAGACATTTTGACTCAGGACTCCATACTGTTGCTCCACGATAAGGATAATATGGAATCCTTCCATGGTTCTCATCTAAGATATGTCCAAGATGCCATCACATATACAATACAGTGGCAACAACATATCTACTACTAGGTGACCAGGTGTAACACAGCAGGCTTCCATATCAATCCAGATACATCTTGTAAGGATAAACCTTAAAGATGTTTTGCCTGCATTTGCCACTGCTGGACAAGCAGTTACAATTAGAAACTGCTCAAAATTTGAATTCCTTTTTGGCGGTGTTAGAGTATATGAAGATAGCATTTAATGATAACCATAATGGTCCTCATTAAATGCTATCTTCACATACTGTAACACTAATTAGACCCATATAAGACCCAAATAAGATTAGACCCATTCTAATTTTATTTCAAGCTTGATTTAGAATACAAACAGCTTTGACCAGTCTAATGGAACACTTATGCC